TGTTTTTGATCAGATTTTCCGAATCCTCCGAACATCTGGAGGTAAGTAGTTAATAGCGTAGCCTATAGTAGCATGAAGGTAATTTCAATGTTTGCATCTTAATTTCTGATAACATTCTTCAGCACTGTAGTGTAGAAAATCATCAATTAACTTMACYTTTTATMTCTAWAACTTTTTTAATATTAATAGGTATCGAGATTATTTTTTWAAATTCTCTTATTTTTACGTTACCTAATAGGTACACGCTACATATGTCGCTTAAGAACTATCATCATTATGACCCAATCAATTTATCCGACTTTTCAAGAGGAGCAAAAAGTATTTTGTTACTAGGAATATTTTGATAGTTAAGGTAGGTACTAACAAATATAAGTATTAATTACTTTWAAATGAACCTAGGTATCTAAATGAGGCTCTTTGAAAATTTATTTTACCAAAAACAATTTTTAGTAAAGATTTTTTGAGTGAGCTTATGAAACATTTTAATTTTGCACAGTGAACAATAAACATGTCGTATTGTTACAATTTCAAAACTAGGCACTAATACTGTCTTAAACTCCTATAGAAAATGCCAGTTGGTATTTTTGAGTTAAGCTGCACGATATTTTTCAATAAGCAACAATATATACATGGAACTTGAGCAAACCTGAGTACCTGACCTTCATAATGACAAACTTACTTAGTCGTTATATATTGCTCATATTATTAAATTGTTTAATGTTTATTATCGTTGTTGTTGTGCGTGTGTTACACAAATCAAAAATAAAGTTGGTATAGGTAGTAATAGGTATGCTGCAGTTATACGACGTTATAACAATAATTACAGGTAGACAAAAGGTGCACTGCCGTTGAGCATGATAAAATGGAAATGTGATAATTACAATAAAAAATTTTATCTCTGGTGGTGATGCTGGTGGTGATGGTGTTGGCGTTCCGTTTTGTTAGCGACGACTTGACGTTCCGCGACAATCACCTCGTGTTCCGCTGACTCACGTCCCGCCGAAGTCGTTTGTGGCGGTAAACCGCAACCAAAGTTTTGAACTCCAGCCGCCGGACCGGACGGAGAGGAGCTTGCAATAGACGCAGCCGCCGCCGGAAAGTAACAATGCGGCGCGAACAGCGAAGCGTAGTGCTGCACCGGTTGAAAATAACCGTGCCGGTGCGCAATCTTCAGCTTGGACGCCAGCTGTTTCTTCCATTTGGTCCGCCTGTTTTGGAACCACGTCTTTATCTGCACTTCGGTCAAGTTCAGCGCCTTGGACAGTTCCATGCGCTTACTCACGCTCAAGTACTTGTCCGTCTGCAATTATAGACGAAGGCTATATATTTATAAGCTGTTGTTTCTATGTAATTAAAATAATTAAATACATAATTTTATTGAATACTAATTTTTTAATTATAATTATTAATTAGCGTGTTTCATAGCATCCTAATAAAATAAAACATGTTTATTATAACATAATATTTTTAATTTTAAATGCATTTTCTTGAATTGCTTATCAATAAGTTATAAGTATATACCTACTTAAAATTTAAGTTTCGTTAAATATTCCATATTTTTAAATTTATGTATTCGCATTTAGTAGACATATTGACAATAATGATTTTTCAATATGACAATAACAAATAGGTATGTTCAGTTCATCATAAATCGTAAGTAATAAAGAA